GAACCGGTGTGCTTCCTAGCCCACCGCACACAGTAATTTTATAACAGTACAAGCAAAGCAGACTAAGTATGTCTGAAGGTGTCCACTTTTTTAAAAAAGGCTTATTACGGCAACATTTACCGCAGAACCAGTTGGGGGGGGGGGGGGGGGGGTTTTCGCGGCGACCCTGGTGGGGGGGGGGGGGGCGGGGATTGATTGCATTACAAACACCAAACAGTTAACTCTTCAATGAACATTTTAAAACCACTAACTTTTTTACCTAGTATGGTCAAGTAATCATTAAAATGCAGCAATCTAAAAATCAAGATGACTATTACAAATAAAAATTCGCTTCTGTGAATAGCTACACAAACAGATGTATTTCTTTTAACAAATATAAACAAAACAGTCTAATTTAGACTCTAGTACAGCATTAACAGTTCAAACTTTAGGATGTCGAACACTCCTTTTCCACTTTAGTGCAGTGTAGGAAGAATAGCACACGTTAAAGTTTGTTACGAAAATAGAGTTTATTAAAAACAGATCCCTATTGTTTTGAGGAGCTTTCACTGTTACCTTTTCTTAAATTAAAAAAAAAAATAGAAAGCACTTCTACTTCTGATTTGTAAACTTTTTAAAGTCAAAACTTCAAAAAAGTTACAGCAAAAATGGGTAATATTTTAATCATATCTTCAGTATTTCATGTTATGTTGTGGCTATTTTAAATAGAGGGAAGCAATCAAATTGCTTACAATTCCCCACCGACTACTGAGGGGCTGTGATATAAGCAGAAGCAAATATAATACAGCAGACTGTACAACTCTAAAGCTCTACACTCCAACAAATGTCACTGTCATCTTTCGACAACTTCCAGTCACTAGCGAGGAGCCTCCACCACTGAGCCCATATCCTTTTCCGCTTGTTCCACAGATGAGGTAGCCTCGGATGTTAACTCTTCAACAGGTTTTACACCTGTAGGTTCAGACTCTCCCGCAGCAAGTTCTGAAACAATGTCTGTGTCTTCTATTTTGCCACTATGAGATTCATGGTTTTTGTCACCATCTGCCCTGTCTGTCATCTCCATTTTTTCCTTTCCTCGATTTTCTTCCTTGTCTCTACGAGACTCCCTATCTCTCAAATCTCTCTCTCTGTCTCGATGGCCACTGGACCGCCTGTTTCTGTCCTCCAAGTCCCTGTGTCTGTCACGCTCGGGGCTTCTTCGTCCCCAGTCTCGCCTGTCACGATTACCGGGTCGCTCGTGATCTCTGTCATCATTGCGGTTACCATAGCGCTCACGATCGTTTTCTACTCGATTGCCAAAAGATCTCCTTCCGAACCTTTCCTGGTCTCTGTTAGGCGTGAACGTCTGCCTGTCATTCCTAAACTGCCTCCCATCTCGGTTCTCCTCCGGTCCGCTCGGCCCCCCGCTTCCCGGCATCCCCCCAGGTCTCACAAAGTGACCCGGTGGTGGGAAGGGGGTTTTCATTCCATGTGGGGGAGGCATCCCAAAGCCCCCTGGCCCTGGCGGGGGCCCTCTGTGCATCATGTGGGGAGGCATGTGTCGTGGTGGCATCAAGGG